GGGGGCGGGCAGCTCGACTATGAGAGGACCATTGAGGGGAGGGCGCTGTGGGAAAAGAAGGCACAGTGCTTGCCTCAGGCCAGACCAAATGTTTCTGGTCTGGACGTCCCCCACCCCTGCTTTAAGCCATCGTGGACCACCTGTGATGACATTGCAGCCCCCCAGGGCTCCACAGACCATATGTTGAGAGCCACTGCCTTAAGTGTTTAAGGCATATGTCCAAACTATCCCAAGGTCAGGAAAAGACAGGAGGACTGATTAAAATCATGAGCTCCTTCATGACCTGACCTCCAGAAGGAAGTATAGAAAAACCTAGATCCATATAAAAGAGTTGCAAACTTCCTGGCATAAAACCAGAAAAGCTAAGGAATTAATACAATAAGATAAACATGATGTGAAAATCAAGAGCTGATCTAAGTATATGGATATTGGAAGAGAGACCAAGAAGAATGTTACTCTGTTCCCAATGGAGAAGAAAGTCTTTATTCCTTAAGGTACCAGATTACTTGTGTCCAATAAGGAGGAAAGAAACTGCTGAGTTGCACTAGTCAAGAGCAAATCATGTCAGTCTCCTTCAAGGACAGGATTACAGGCTGGGTGGGTGCTAAAGAGGCAGTACATATCAGGTCTCTCCATTAAGGGAGGCTTCTAAAATAATTTTATATAACGCTTTTACTGTAACAGAAAGAGAAGCACTGGTCTGGATGAAACTAAATTTCGTGCACACCTGATTGAGAAACTGTGTGAATTGGTTGAAAGATTATATGGAGTGCAGAGATGAGCCACACAGGTGAGCCTGAGGACCTCTGATACTTGGTATTTTCCACAGTGACATGCAAGATGGAAGAGGGTGTTTACTCACTGCATTTGTAGCTCATTCCAGACTGGAAGGACTACTATGAGTCAAAATGAGAGTTTAAGACAATCTTTTGAAACTGGAACAGTGGTCCAACTTAAATAGGAGGTAATTCAGTAAACACAATATTTCACCTTCGGTTCCATAACACACAACCAAGGAAATTTGTAAAACATGTAATAAAAGCAAGAAATCTTCTCCATTTTCATGAGGATGAGGAGCTAGGACAAGAAGTAATGGGATCCCATCACTCTGAGGGACACTCAGGTTAGATATTAGGAAACACTTTTTTAGACATTATAAGGCTAGTTAAGGAGCGGAATAAACTGTGTGGGTGAGCTGTGTAATCTTGTTGTGAATCTGTAGGAACAGGTTAGACAGCATCTGTTAGGACTGGTTTACCTCTCCTTGCTCTGTTAGTGCCAGGAAAGCTCTCCCATTCTGCCTGTGATCTTGCAATGCCAGGGACTGAGCTAAGGTGAGCAGTGTGACCCATGTACAGATGGCAAAGGAATATTGCAAGGGTCTACCAAGAGTCTAACACTTCATTTATTGCTGACACTTTAGTTGTTGGTAATTTTAACCTCTTACCCACTTCCATGTTCATCTTTGCCTTAATACAATGGCTGTTCTGGGGAGTACAGATTATCCCTTCCTTTGCTCTTAAAGAGCTGCCATTATAGCTGGGAAACACGGCACAAGATGTAAATGTTGACAGTTTAGTATTTCTTAAATAACGAGAGTTGCAACTCTTGTTATTACTAATGCCTTTGGCAGGACTTGTGCAGAATTTCCCAAAATCATGAGGTGTTTGACTAATGTTTGCAAGCGAGGTTTTATGAGCTGCCTGTGCTTTTATGGAATCACCATGAATTTGTAACCTGCCTATACATTTGTCTCCTTTGCAGTCATACCAAATGCATGCAAGGTCAACAATGGGAACTGCAAGCAATTCTGCAAAACTGAAGATGAAGGAGTTGTATGTTCCTGTGCTGCTGGCTATGCCCTGGGCAATGACAACAAAACCTGCATTCCTATAGGTACGAAGCCACAGTTAATGTTCATTCTATGGGACACACATCGCATCTTCACCACATTTAGGAAGTGCTGATGTGTTGCAGTGCCGTTGCAGCATAAAGAATAATGCTAACTCTTCATGCCTTTCACATGGCTTACTTGAGGTGTTGCCAACAAATTTAATAAAAATCTTAGCTAAAGGTCATAATTTAAGTAACATCAAATTGTGCAACTTTGAGTGATGTGCAGTAGCGAAAACAGCTCACGGAAGTGTTCTGTGCAAGTGGGTGAATTCTCGGAGCGGACTGCAAAGCCCATGTCCCAGCAGGTATGTATGAAGCCATATGAGAAACTGGTGATTACAATGGAGGTCAGAATCCTCTTCTCTCACAGACTGAAAGGGGTCTTTCAAGCTTCAGGAGACTGTGTTAGAAAGGAACAGGTTAGATTTATCATTGGCAAAAATTGGTGTCTATTTTCAAGGCCTCCGGGGTGTGCTGAATGCCAACAGATCCAAATGAGTAGGAACCCAAGAAACTTCTTTTACAATCTGCAGGTTCACGAGGACTCGTTATAATTTTAGTGGTAGTGACATCATGTGATTGCAGTTATATCTCACTTGTTTCCCCTCAAATATCACCTCTTCTGTATTCTTCTAAAGGCAGGTTTTCTGCAGTTCACATATAATAATCAAGGTACCTGAATAACTACTGACATTGAATTTAAATCCATCAATTTTGCCTGCATTCAAAGTGAGCATTAACAGTTATTAATCTTAGTCTACTTTTCTGTCTGATGATATTTTTTATAATGCTGTTTTTAATTTAATACCAAATTGCTGTCATGAGCTTATAATTCCTAGCATAGAAAACTTTGCCCTGTTTTCCAATTACAGAAGATTTAATAACAGCAGGTACACAAAAATAATGAAGCCAATAATGGAAGATGCTTAGCTTTTAAATACTTCGAAAATGCCGAACCCATTTGTCCACTTGCTCAAAATGCGCAAGTTTTAGAAGTGGAAAATTATTTTAATTTTTCAAGCATTCTGGTCCTTTTGCATTTGCGAAGATTTTGTTAATGTCTTGGAAAATCTAGCAGAGCCAACCCTGATAAGGACACCTGCATATCTAATTGGATTGCAAAAGGCTGCTGTCAAGGAGTTTTCCTTGCAGTAAGTGAGTTTTCCTTGCGGTAAGCGAGTTTTCCTTGCGGTAAGCAAGTTTTCTCTCATTTTCCTGAAGAGTAGATTCCCTGAAAGTGACCTGTTTCCCTACAAATAATTTTCCTCCACTGTAGGTAGCTATCTGTCACTCCAAAGGCTGCTTTTGACTGCAAAGCTAGGTTTACTTTTCTGACCATGAAACTGTCCATTGTTCCAAGGACTCTGACAGACAAGCTCTGTTGAATGGCACTTGGGTGACAGAAATTGTTGTCAACAGCAACTGTCTGTCCTTTTACTCTGCTGGAGGTTACTATCCCTTGCATGTCTCTTGGCTTGGCGCCTCAGGCACAGCACAGGCACCATCCCCTGCAGAGATGGAAGACCGTGGTCCTCCACATCCTATATATTGGCTTAAATCAACGAGAAAGGTAGCTCTGAGCTAAAGTGAAGGCTGGTAACAGCAGCTGAGCCTTCACAGCTGTTTACTCAGTGTTAAGGACAGGAACCCCTTGCTCTCAGTATGTGACACATGCCTCAAAGTCCCATTACCATGCAGACATCAAGTATTAGCATTCTGATTTTGCCTTTGCAGTCAAGTTCCCTTGTGGTAAGCTTCAGAGAAATCATGAAGCCAGTCGAGAGAAAGTCACAGGAACCACAGCAAGTCCCGATGCCCATCCTGAAAATGAGGAAACCACCGAGACCCCAAGCAGCCATCCGGAGGTCACGGGGGAGGCTGGCAGTTTACCCACAGTGTCCCCATGGCAGGTAAGGTAAAATTGTCCTGGGATGTTTAACACCTGACCCCACTCACCAGGACCGACAGCCATTTACTCTTCATCATGCTCATCCCTGCTTGCCAAGGGGACCTAGCTTGATTTGAGGCAGACTCCCCTGCTGCCAACATTCTGGGTGGTCATTCCACTCCCCTGAGTACTGTGTTTCTGCACAGGTCTCCTACGAATGATGTTGTGCCTCCTTTTCAGCATCAGTGCTGGGAGGGGGAGGCTAGGAGAGAAGTTGGGCTGCAGATACAGGACGTAGAAAAGGGTGTGAGCCACAGGGCCCCTTCCCTGCCAGCCAACCCATTATTTGGGTTGCAGTGTGGTGGTATCAGAAGAACAGCCTGAATTCCTGTTGTAGCCAAGACCAAAGTGAAACAAAAAACCCAAGCAGGAACAGTGCTATTACAATATTAGCTAAATTTTGTTCAAAAAATAGCAAGCAAAAACTGTTGGCAAAATAACTGAATGCACAAACTCTGCTTTGAGCCAGGAAAAAGGTCTGTCGTGACCTTGTTTCCCACTGTGTTGGCTACACCTCAGTGGAACTCTCACCACCTCTGAATGAAGGATGCCTTTGACAGAAAATACATATGAAAATGTCTACTTTAAGAAAACGGCTTGAATCTCAGCCAGCTGTTCAGGATTTCTCTGTACATACGTTTCTGTACTTCAGCTTTCTTCTCTCTCTTTGCAGGCTGTTCTACTAGCAGATGAGTATGATGAATGGTTTTGTGGGGGGACAATTCTGAATGAGTATTTTATACTTTCTGGAGCTCATTGTGTTCAACAGTTTGAAAACTTACAGGTTATTGTTGGTAAGTGCTTCTCATTTTGCCCTTTACTACAAAAATAAACTATCCCATGTTCTAGTCTCCACATGCAAGACACTGAACTCTGTCAGAGTTTTTCTTACCCTCCTTATTTCTCACTGCCTTTTCTTGTCTCAACTGACAGTGAAATACATATTCAGCTTTGTTGAATGGACAGTTTTGTTAAGCTTGGCTTGGCCTAGTGAAGCTTTGTACATGACAGAAGCCAAGCATAAACTGAGAATGTATGCAGGCAATTAAGGTTGGGCTGTTGTAGTTAAATTGGTCTAACATTACACCTTTAGATAATTTCCTGTGTTGGCCAAACCTTGAAGAATTCCAGATACCTCGTTCAGATGCTAGCAATAACTGTTTTGACAGCATGTAGATACCAATCTGAGACTGTTTCATACTTGAAACCTCTAATTTATTATTTATTAATATCCCTTATGACAAAGTAGTTTATCACAAGTTCTAGGCACAGAAAAATGGTGTTCTGAGTCATAAAAATTGTACTCAACCTACAATACTAAAGCAAAAATTGTGTTTGCCTAAACTCCAATTGTCTGTCCATTTAATTCCCAAAGAGACTTCATACAAATTGAGAAAGACTAAATACATATAAACTTGTACATTTTTGTATGCAGAATGTTTGAAGTTTTAAAAGACAATGAATATCTATTTCCTATTTAAATCTGCTTGACTATGTTGCTCTACAAATTATGGGGCAAGACCCTTCTCTTCTGTGTTGAGGCTTTTGGTTGTATAAGAGTGCCATTGGGAATATTGTGATGAAGTCCAAAACTTTATATCAATGCTTTCATTGAGAGCATTATTCTGACAGCAAAGTTCTGATTTTCTGCTTGCCTGGCATTGTGGCGGCCTTCTAAACCCCCTCCAAAATGGGTATAAAAAGCTACAGTATCAGGATGCAGGACTGATCTATTTGATTTGTACAGTACAATGCCTATACAAAGTGCAAGTAAATTTGGTCCCTTTATTTAATGAGGTGCAGCTTAGACTTGTTGGTATTGTCTTATTAACAACTACTTTAATACTCTGGCACAGGGATGGTGGACAAAGAAAAGGAAGAGCCAAGTAGAGCAATACACAGAGTGGAAAAAATAATTCCACATCCTGATTTTGATGAAAAAACTTTTGATAGCGACATAGCCCTTCTCAAACTAGAGGAACCTATCACATTTTCTGAGGATGTTGTCCCAGCATGCCTTCCAGAAGAAGACTTTACTAAAGACGTTCTGATGAAACAGACGTTTGGAATTGTCAGTGGCTTTGGGAACACATTTGAACGTGCAAGGCCAGTCAAAAGAATGAAAGTGCTTCAAATCCCTTATGTGGACAGGGTCACTTGCAGGCTTGCCCTTCGTAGCCCGGTCACAAAAAACATGTTCTGTGCAGGTTATGATAAAGATGGAAAAGATGTCTGCCAAGGAGATGGAGGAGGCCCCCATGTAACCCAATACAATGGCACTTATTTTGTTACTGGTATCATCAGCTGGGGAGAAGGGTGTGGAAGGCAAGGGAAGTATGGAGTATACACCAACTTGTCAAAGTTCCTACCCTGGGTAAGAAGTGTTTTAACAGAGGACTCTTAATGGTTTGGCATTTGATCAACCTTATTGTCTTAGCCATCAGATCTGATCCCTAAGTACTATTTTCTTCTTTTTAACATGCTTACTAAAATTCTGATAGTTTGTGCCTCCCTTAAGAAGGACATACTACTCCATGAGCTAATGCCTGGTTTTCAGAAGGTGAGCTTGGATTTCCGGCAGAGCTTGATGGTTTTGGACAATAATGAGATTTCTTCAAATGGTTTAGGAACTTCCCTGCTCTTGCTGTAATAACCTAAATTTGTCTTTTGGAGGCTTTGCCTTTGTTGATAAACCCCCTCCCACTGCGATGAAGGTTGGAACTAGCTCAACATTTCTGTGGCAGTACGTGTTTTATAGAAAATAGACTAGGGTAATATCAAAGTAAAACAGTATCAGAGTAGGACAGCTTTTTAAAAGCCTCTGGAAAAGCTATTTAATTTTCTAGATTTATATACCTATACACAGAAAATTCAGAAAATGTGAAAACCACCCATATATCCACACAAGTCTAAATAACTGGGCATGTCACTAAATCAAGTGAGTTGTTAGATGAAGCTCATTGAATTGGAAAGGCTTGCTTATCATCACCAAAATAACTGGTGTTCTGATATTTTCCTGCTTTCATTCTGATACTTTCTTCATCAGCGTTATTGATGTTGTGATTTTGTCTACAATAAAGTGAATGCATTGCATACCCTACAAATTGCAATATTGTTGCATGTCATCATTTGAATAAAGTGTTATTTAAATTATTCCCAACTAAGGAGTTTTTAAATCTACAAAGATAAATAGTCTTTCCAGACTAAGAAAAGCCTGACTCTCTAATCAGCTGAACCTGACATCCTCTGTCTGCCTTATTTCAATCCAGAGGGAAAAAGGCTTGTTTCTCAGCCAGCTTAGTGGTCCATAAAAATGGTGAAGTAGATGTTTGAGTCTCTACAGAAACATGAAGTACTCTGATGTACTTCAAAAAGTGTGTCGGTATATATTTTCAAGGAGAAGGAAAAAAGAGATCTTACAGATTATATCGTGGCATTAAGTGTGCAATATTTTTCTGATTCGCTGGGTTCATAATACCCAGTTTGCAAGTGTGAAAGTCACCATTTTGGGGTAATTTTTAATATGGATTGCGTTGATCCATTTGAAAGGAATAAGGTGGTTATATTTGTCCTGCAATGACCACTGGCCTGTTCCCCTGTGAAAAACTCAGAAAAATCACAGGGGAGTCTCTTTCATTTGTATAATTTCCCCCTTTTTTCTCTGTCACATCTCCTGAAATTCAAGACCACTAAATGAACTCAGTCCTGGAGTGACAGCAGATCTCAGGTCATGGTGTTCAAGCCACAGAAAGAAGTTCAACCCCTGATGGCTGCATAAGCGACTCCCTGACATCACTCCTCCAAAGGATTTACCCCTGCTTGATTTCCCATAGGATCTCTGTTGAAACTTCTGATTATAGTTCAGCCCTAAACTATATTCCGAGAGAACCAAACCTGATATATGGAAGTGTGTGCCATGCTCAGACATGTCCCAGGGACTATGGGGAGGCCATTGCACAGGGCTTGCACTTGCTGACCCACTCCGTCGTTGCCATCCGTCTCTCCTCCTACCCAGCCCTGTATTACCGCTTGCCCCGGCTCTGCAGAACTCCAAGTTTATTCATAATCAATTACAAAATGTACAGAAACCTTCAATGGGCTTCAATCACCGTCTTTAGCTACACGTGCATTCAGAGGAATCAGTCATCTAAGTGTCTCCTTCCTCACCTCCCAGTTTGCGTTGCCAGGTGTGAAACACCATCATCAATCTACTCAGATGTTCACTACCAGATAAGAACAAATACTCTCTGCAGGGGCACTTATCCCAGTTGCTTAATTGCAGAAAGAATTGCGATTCTCACTCAAGACACATACCAAGGCACACATCATGTCATCTGTACTCTGCTGAAATGCTGTCTGAGTCCTCATGAAGAAGACAGAGTTTTAACTCATCATTCTGGAAGATTTACTTTGAAACTTGAATAAGCTTTTTTTGCCATCTTTTTTCAATATGGATTTTTTTTTTCTACTGTCGTATATACAGAAGACAACTTCCAAAAGCAATCTGGCAGTGCAGCAGTTGCACAAGTCCACAGAGTCCATGTCTCCCACAGCTTGAGAGCCAGGTTTATGGCAGGAGTCACTTCCACCACCCAGTCATATCTGGGCTGTGGGTGGACGCTCTCTGGTGCTGGCTTTGCATTGGTGCTGTTTAGGTCAGGTCAGGGCTTTCCTCCTGCTGAATCTGTTGCAGAGGAAGTGACTGGCTGGTCACAGGAACACCTTAAATCACAACATCTGGACACAGCTGCAATGCTGCTGCCCCATGACCTCAAGGGACAGAAGCGGGCAGAGAGGAACAGAAAACAGCATAAAAAAGTCTGAATTCCACATAAACACCAAACACTTTCTTATCTCCTCAGTGCCCACTTCAGACTGTGTCAGCATTTCAGGAGTTTGCCTGAAAAACACTCTGCTTAGGTTTCGTTGTGAGTGATCCTGAACCATTTTTATCCTGAAGTCCAGGTTAGTACAATGTGGAGACACTATCAGAGAAAATTGGAGAAAAAATAAAGTCCTCATCCGAATGGTACAGACTCCAAAGAGATTTTTCTGCATTTTTCACAGGGGATCAGGATATTGCTCTTCTCAGGGCAAAAATAACCACCTTACTAAACCCCCTTATCCATTACTGAAACTGTCTAGGAGCTTAAGTGATACGGCTTTGTGCATGTGCTCTGCCATCCTCTGGCTGTTCCATACCCAGTTTTATTGGTTGCAATTTTGGTAGGGAAAAGAATATTAAGAAAAATGTGGTAAAAAAGGTTAAGAAACATGAAGGTGGAAGTAAAGACAGAATGTATTTTAATAAATTAAATACTAACGAAGATTGCTATTTTAAGCAATATATGCACAAAAATAGAAAATGTCAGAGATTACATCTACAGAGATCACAGAATCATAGAAGAGTTTGTGTTGGAAGGGACCTTGAAAGATCATCTAGTGCAACCCCACCTGCCATAGGCAGGGACATCTTCCACTTGATCAGGTTGCTGAAAGTCCCATCCAGCCTGGCCTTGGAATGCTTCCAGGGGTGAGGCAGATACCAGAATGGTTCCAAGGTGACTTTTGTTTTCACTGCCAGAATGTCAGGAGAATTGTACAACCTTGTGGTTAGGCTCAAGTCCTTGTTGTGGGTACAGGATCCACGGGAGAGAATCAGAGTCATCCCCCTGCTCGCTCCCCCAGGATTTGCTGCAATCTGCTACCAAACCAGAAGAACAGTGCTGATGTTCCTCTGAAATGGCTGCAAGTTCCTCCAGCTTTTAGAAACGCACTTTGGATTTGACAAGAAAAACTTTTTTTTTTTTTTTTCTGCAGGTAGTGAACAGAACTGGCTGATGACAGTCCAGCTGTTTAGCTGAATTAAAACCATTTTAATTGCACTAAGCATTAACCCTTTGCAGAGTATGTGCTACCTCTCTGCTGGTTGGACAAAGTTCAGCCAACATTTTTGCAGCTTCTGTATACACAAAGACCTGTGCTGCTTATAAGCATGCATGCTGATAACCATGCTTTGTATGCGGAGAGAGTATATCAGCAAGTAAATGGGATTAGCTTGTGTCACTCATTGCTAGCTCTTGACCAAGACTACACATGACCACAGTCACCTGTTCTGGACCAGCTGGTGTCTAGTTGAGGCTGCAGGATGCACTCCCTTTTCGTTGGTCCTAAACAGTTGCCTGCAAAGAATTGTTTTTTCTCTAATTTGAAAAAGCTCTTCCTTGTTCCTGAATCCGCTGCTTCCACTTCCATATTCTCTATGCAAAGAATAGACTAAAGCTCCACAACATATTTGTCCGTCCGTGTCCCCCCCCCGCAAAATACATACCTCTGACAGAGGAGTTACTGAGTTAAGCCAGAGGAAAACCTGGACTCCTCCCTCTCCATCTCTTTTGAGTTGACAACTATTGCTGTGATTTACCTGCAGCTTCTCCAGGGCTCTTCCCCATGGGGAAAGAGAGATCAGACAGGTAGCTGGTGGCCCAGCAGCATTTTGTCTGCTTCCCTGTGCCACATGGATGTGAACAGGCATTGCCCAGGATGGGCTGCAGCAGGACTGCAAGCACATCAGTTGTTGGTTGCGCTTGCTCCTACCTCCTCTCCCTGCCAGACAGGACTCTGGGTAACCTGGAGCAAGGAAAGAGCACAGAGGAAGCCAGTGGGGTTTTGAAGACCATACCACAGGCAAAATCGGGCAGGAAAGGAGGCAGAGGCAAGAAACTTGCCAGGTCCATCTGCAGCGCGGATGTCTTGGATCAGAGGGGCTTGGGGAAGGCCCTGCTATCACCTCACTTCCAGTGAGTTGAGCTTTACCAGCCTACACATCTTTATGCATGTCAGAGAAAACACATTCTTCCATTTCTGTCTGCCCCCATGCTCCCAGAGAGTCCAGAGGGTCCACAGGACTAGGGTGGGGGGCATGGTACAAGGCAACACTGGAGAGCTCTGCTTCTCGTGGGCCCCATCCCTGTCCCACCTCGTCCTCCCAGCTCTGCAGCAGCAAGCAGCTGTGGGCTTTCCCTTACCCCGGTCCCAGAGCTCCCCGTCAAAGGCTAATGCAAAGAGAAGAGGATGTAGAGAGGTGAGGTGGAGGAGAGGGCAGGCTGGAGCTGCTCATGTTAGCCTGCACCTCCTGCTACGGGGCAGGTGCACCACAGTCCACTTCACCTTGAACCATCTTCAGTGTCCACAACACACAACTAACTGCTGTGCCTGTGTGTTGCTCAGTGGGAGGACGACCCCCAGGGAGAAACGTGGCTGCAAGCCCAGCCACCAGCTTACATCATTTGCTTAGTGCGGGGGTGATGTTTTCTGGAAAATAATTGCTGTCCCCTCTCGCTAACTGAGGTGTGCATTTCCAGAAAACCTATGACAAGAGTTTCTCAGGACAGCTGTCCTCAGCCGCTCCCACTGCAGCAGGGCTGGCGGCCAGCCAGGGCTCACAGCATGAGGTGGGTGGCATTGGCATAGCCCCATCACTGCCCCATCACTGCCCCAGCAGCTGGTCTGCAAACCTGTTTCCTCTGGCTTCCCATGGGCTTCCATGGGAACCAGGTTCTAAAGCAGGACCAACTAGCTCAGTTACTCCATCCTGAGGAACTGCAGCCTTCATGCTGGAAAGAGTAACCCTTAAAGCAGGAGGCAATTCTTAATTAGGGCTACAGGAAATCGGGTGCAGAACTCCCTAATGAAATACGTCTCCATGTGCTCACTGTGGTAATTAAAGGAATGGAAAAAGAAATCCCAGTAACTCTCCATAAAGAAAGATGTGAGGAAAAGCCTGCCCTTTTAATACCCTCCCTTTGTGCAATTTTCCATAGTAATATGAACATTAAAACATAAAGGCTGTTGCATTGATATCAATGCAGAAAAAGCAAAGTCAGTGCCATAATGTACTTGAGTACACAGTGGCCCATTCCCAAGGACACAGCTGCTCAGTCAAGGAATACTTTTTTAAGAAACACGTAAGAAAAAAATTACCATGTAAACTAATATCTGGTGAGAATACAGCTTCTGAATCTCTGTGTTGTAAATATTAATCTAATTTGAATAGCTACTTTATACCTACAAGCATTCTTAACTGACATAAGTTTGCAAAATGTAAGCACTTTGTTTTAAAAAAAATAATTCTGCAGATCCACCGTTTTGTGCTGGGTTCTGCAAAGTCCTGTGCTGACATCAAGTGGTGACATATTTTTCATGCTGAAGGGAGCCAGATCTGCCATACTATGTATGCACGGGGCGATATTCGTTATCACGGGAAGGTAAAGGCAAGTAGTCACAGGCCAGAGAGGGACTACAGCAGCAGCCCCACTGCCAGGTGCTCTCGTGGGGATGGACAGCCAGGGGAGTAAGGAAAAGCAACGCAGCCACCACCGTGCAAGGTGAGGAGGGCGAGGTGAGCCTCCCCAGCAGCTTCTGGGTGCACGAGGTGCTGGCTGAGCACCCCACCCCACACACACCAGATATGACCACTGCCAACAGCCCCCCTTTCTCTGGCCAAGAAACCCCTGTCTGGAACAGGTATAATGGGGATTGATGGCCTCAGGGGACTGAGGAGAGCACAGAGAGCTCATTTACTTAAGGAATCTCAACACACAGTTAACTAAAGAGGATGGGAGGCTATATTAACTAGTTCTACAGAAATACTAAGGAGGAAAAAATATAAGTATGTAAGGTTATGAACCGGCTGTGAATAAAATCAAACTTTTTATTAGAAGGGTTTTAACTCCAAGTGAACTTCTGGAACATCCCTGCAGAGACTGGGCAGGAAAACCCTCCCACAATGCAGTTTTAATGCGGCAGTTAATTATTTGCTGAAGGCATTAGGGTCCATGATGTGAGCTGTAACATCAGACCCGGGTTGGCAGGGCCTGGCCTTAGCGAGGCATGTGGACTACTTCACTAACCTGCCTTGGTACTCACTGAAGCTTGTTTTAAAAGCTGCAGTTGATGGGAAATGAATTTTTACTTGAGATTTACCCATGAATGCTCAGATCAGTTATACTTTGTTAAAAGAACTGCATGCTCAAATGATAGTTGGGTATTTATGACATGAAAACTCAGACCGGTCTCTAAGTTTCTAACTCAGATAAAACCCCCCTTTTTGCTCTTACCGGTTGTTGCTCTGACTGTTCTTCCCAGGAACCTGCCTGTGCTGGGAGCCAAAAAACTCCCTGCAGCACCATTGCCATTGCACGTCAATGGGTTTATCCTTCTTCTTGTCCTGGGCCAGGCAGGAGGGCTGCCCCAGCTGCTTGGTGCATGGCACAGCATCCCAGGGTGGCGCTGTGGTCCCCTCGGTACCTACACCTCCTTTCACAGACTCTGTGTGTCTGTGAGTGTCCATGTGTCTGTGTGTGACCAGGATCCTGAGGTCAGGAAGAGTTTTCCATGTTCTCCTTCATGTCTGGGCAATATAAACCTAACAGTGAAACAGAAGAATGTTGTTATCTGTTCACATACATCCCTGTGGGAGAAATCCCATGCTTGGTTTCTTGGTTGCTTCAAAAGCTGGTGGGATTTGACCAACGCAGCTAAGCCTTGGCAAATGTTTTGTGGGGACAGTGTATGAAAATGCCACACCACAAAACTGATCCCCGTAGTCACCATCCAGATTGTGCTTTGATATGGTATAAAGAAATGTTTGTACTGTTCATCTCGGGTTTTGTTACAGTAAGTGAAGGCTGGAGGGTGGGAGGAATACCCAAATCTTGGTGCAGCAATCAGCAGAGCGGGCAAACCTGCAAACCTTCAGCCAGTGCACTAAGAGAAGGGGCACTGTTGCACCACTAAGCAGTAGATTTTTTTTGCGGTCTTTTTTCATCTGTTGACATTGGGGCTTTGCCCTTAGAGGTTTTGTTTTCTCATGAGCAGCTGGACTTTAAACTTCAACATCTCTCATGTAGCCATTTCCTCCGAGAGCTGCAGGAATGCAGGCAGGCTACAACTAGGCTCGGAGGGTAACAATGACCAGGTGCGTTTGGACAATATTGTTTCTTCTCTCTGCCCTTTTCCTTCAGACAGAGCAAACAGGTATGGCCTTTGTTTTGTTGTGGCTTTAATTCTCATTTGTACTACTGCTCCTCTAAAACCACCAGCATTTTTTTACCTTGTAGTGTGTTTACTTTGTAGCATAGAGTGACATCACTGAAAACTGTCCCTTATTTTCCTTACATTTCTCCTTTTTATTTCCTATAGTTAAGTAAAAGCCGCAGTAAGTTGCTGAGGCAATGTAATTTTGAAGTACCATCATTTACAGCAGGGTAATATTTTGTCTTCTTTATAACTCTTAAAAAGAGCGCCCCAGATATTAAAGAAAAATTTGTTTTATATCCCTAGTTGCTGATGAAATAAAAATAAGAGTCCTATGAAAGAGGCTGAGATGCATGCTTCTTATAACTTGAAGAAATTTATGTTTCTGTATTAATCCTCCATGGCTTGTCAAAAATAAGAGCAGCTGGGCAAGGACAAAAAAGATGGTGACTGCTTAAGGCCAAAAAGGCCCTGGCAGCCATAGAAGTGCACTGCCAGTCATGCTGGATGCATCGGAACCACCACACAGCAGAAATGTGCACTGGGGTGTCAGACAACACTTTAAAATGCAAAACACAGTCATGAAGATTTTTCTTTTTTCTTTTTTAATATCACATGCAAGCTTGTCCCTTATCAGATATCCTTCAAAAAGCATAACTAAGGATTTGTATGAAGTTTCAAAATAATTTTGTTATTGCTGTCACTTTTTACCAATCCTAATATTATTATTTCGACCTTTATGCCTAGCGGTGCTGAGCCCCAAACACTGTATAAAACTCAAAAAAAACCCAGTCCTTGCCTCAATGGGTTTACTTTCCAAGCACAGCAGAACTGACAAACACACACTGACACACACAGCCAGATACCATTTAATGTCAAAGGCAACTGTCTCCAGCATGGCACCAGCCATCTGACTGGCAGGTGGTTTTTGTTGTGGCCATCACTGCAAAGAGGAGTTTTAAGGTCTGATAACTCTCATGTCTTTGATCTCTCTTCCTCTTTACTCAAATCAAAAAGATGATGGTGTCTTCCACATAAGGATGGTATATGATATAGCTCTCTTAACTTAGAGAATTGCTGAGCGGTAGCTTTGGTGTATTCTCCTTAAGAGAGATTTGATCAAGAACTCAGCCACGTCATGGTTTTGCCTCTCAGCAAAAAAGTCCCTGTGAACTAAGACTGAAGGCCATCAGTTTGGACCCATCATCATAAATGAATACAGATCATTTCCAGTTCTACTGATGAGTCTGAAAGCCCCATGCAGTCTTATAAAACAGCCCATATCTTTAGGACAACACTTTTCCCCTTGCCCTGTGTGTCTGGTGCAGGATAAAAATGTGTAGGGAAGGGCTTAAAATTCTCCCTGGTTGGGATCAAGTCAGGCACTCCCCAAAACTGAAAGGTCATGACTTCTCGGCTGAGTTTGGGCTAAGAAAGTAGGGCTCTTTCCATAGGTAAGTTTACTGTGGTTGAAACCCTGAATCAGCCAAAAGGTTTTCTCTTTTAAAAAATGAGGTAAAAGTATATAAGCAAATGAATCTAAGTACTTAAATTAGCATTTTGTCATACAACATTCCAGTGTTTATATCAGCTGATGACGCAAACAATGTTATCAAGAGACAGCGGCGTGCCAGCTCCCTACTTTTGGAGGAGGTCCTCCAAGGCAGCTTGGAAAGGGAATGCCTTGAAGAGAGATGTACACAGGAAGAAGCAAGAGAAGTATTTGAAAACGATGACATGCTCGTAAGTATTTTATTTTCCTGTGTGCAAAATAAAAATTACTATCTTGGTCCTTTGCTATCAAATACAGCTCCACAGCCTTCTTAATTTGCTTGGGTTTCTCTCCATGTGAAATCTTTGCACTTTCCACCTCAGCAGGTAGAAAACAGGTGTCTTCAGTGGTTGAAATGGAAATGCAGAGGCCAGCTCTGACACTTTTAAAGTCCCATCCCGAAAATTATCTGTCCTGTGCTTTATATTGCAAAAGTATATGGCTGTTGTCCCATCCTGACCACACGCAGAGATACAGCTTCAGCATCCCTTAGGAACCAGGAGGGGCAAGGGGGTGTTGGGATGAAGGAAAGCAATGCACCAGTGAGTAGTGGGACCTATAGCAAGAGGCTCACTTGATCAGCAGCTGCATGTCCCCTTGTACAAGAGGCCCTCCTGACACCTACAGCCGGGTGCTGTGCTCTTTAAGGAGAATCTGGCTGAAGACTGCGTTTGCAGGGAAAGCAGAGGAAACAGCTGGCAGGCTGCTGGTGGGCATTCCAGGTGCTTTGGGGAAAGTTGATGGAGGGGAAGTACAGGGAGTGGGGAGAGGGGTCCCTATGGGGAAGGCAGCGGCAGAGCTTGGTTGTGTGTACCCAGGGAAAAGCAAGGCACATGAAGGTGGTCAGTAGCGTTTATGATCTGCAGCTCTTCTCTCTGCTGTCCGCTCTGCTCCCAGCAGCACCTGCCGGGGGACAGGACAGGATGGGGTCACTTCCCAGGGCGCTGCACGACAGAGGGATAATAGCCAGTCAGTTTTTCCAGGAAGCCATATTGCTAAAGGATTCAGCTGTTCCTCCCTTCTCTGAAAAGTGTTTATTTTCCTTTATAGCTTATTAAGAAACAATAAAATAAGCAGGATGCAAACGCCCTCCCATCTCATTCAAACTTTGCTGGTAGGGCAGAATTTGCAGTCGTGCAACTGTGTAAACATTAAACCATAGTATACATTCTCTAATAAAATGGTTTTGTTTTATCAAAATATTTATGGAAAATTACATGAGAATTAAAATCTTCTTTTCCTTTTTTATTTTTTCCAGAAAATGTTTTGGGATGTCTACTATGGTAAGCTGGCCTCTTGATTTCTCTCCTTCATAGAGGTGTCGCACTGTGAGCGCTATGATTCAGTCCAATGCTGGTTTTCTGAGAGGCTTTAGCAGTTTATCCTACAAGAAACACCCAGTTGCTTGTAGTAAAGCAGGAGGAAAAGCGTTGATATGAAAGTTCTAAAAAAGTAATAAATAGAAAAAAAAACATATAAGACTGCAGAGCAAATAAAAATTGAAGGTGAGTAGATGTTTTCATAGTAAATAGGCTATTTCTTTTCCTGAACTTAATGCTGTTCTGAAAACAAGCTGGGAGCTGAGAAAGTCTGCTTTGTTGATAACAATAGAGCAGCACATCTTTACCAGCTCCCAAATACAAACCTAACTCTTAAACTTGAGGGAGATTAATAGGTGTTAAAAGCTACTGGGCTGTCTGCAAACTCTCGGTGCTGGCACTCATTCCTTGGCAGCCTTCAAGGCAAAAACTTAATCTGTAAAAGCTGAGGGGCTGATGTAACTAGATGCCTCCTGAATAACGACCCTGGGGCACCAGCTTATGGTGACTACGTCTTATTACCCCCACCTCTTTTCTGCATGCATCATCCTAAATTTTTCTCTTGTTTTTAACTTAGCTTCTATTAATTTCTAATCTTAGGTTCAAACAGTGGATAAAGGGGTGGCAAAAAGAGCAGTTAGTATTACTTTTCTGCAGAAGCCACTAAAACTCTGAGTCCATAGAAGAATCCCATCAGTGATAGAAATGTTATGAAGAAGGATGCCAAGTACCTGGCCTTCCATTACTTCTGTGAGGAGTAATTTCTGTCACTGGGTGTTTGTACTAAGCATGTCATGCAGGCTTCCTCTCTAGTCTATGAAGAGAGAAGGGCAACAAGTTGAGAGTGATCCATCCAAGCAAGTGTAGCCACAATCAGGATGCATTACTGGCTTTGGCCTCAGGGGTGGCTTCCTTGCTGTAATTAAAAGCCATTATGTCTTATCTTATTCCTACACACTAGCAGTGTGTATTTCCCTCTTTGTGATATCTTTTCTAACATTTTGAAGTGTTGCCTCGCATCTCCATGACTTCTTTCTTCCTCACTAAACTACCCTATTTTTGCATCCTGTTTTCCGAAGTCTCATTTTCTAGACTTCTGGCATGTGTGTTGCTCTCCCTCCATAGTCCAGGGTACAGTGAGTAAATCTGCATTGTGAATAAAAGAGGGCTGGGGAGAAAGGCTAAGTGCCCACCTAGCTGCTGGCTCACCCTCTGGCTCTGTTTCATACTGCTCCACCTTGGTCTCTTCAAGGCAAAGCTGATGTGGCATCTTGTTCTAGCATGGATGTACGCAGTCTGGGCACTTGACCTGAGGCCACAGTTGTCCCTGACTCCCTTTTATTAACAGCATAAATTTAGCTATTGATAACCTCTCTTTAAACATAATTTTCCAAAGAGTTTTGTGCAGTAGTCTGTTTTTCTAGCTCACTTAATGACAATGTCACCTGAGATGTTTCTATTCTATGAAGTTCACTGATTCCCCACTAGGTCACTTATCCTATACTACAATTAGATTTAATTGGTTTGGATTATTTGATCTTGAAAAATACATGTTGGTTGTTACTAACCACCTTCTTATTTTGTTGGGTGCTTATAGTTTAATGATTTCAGCAGCTTTCCATTAACAGAAATCATGCTGATTTCTCTATAATTCCTTAAATCTTCTCTTTCCTCCTTTAACAAAGCTAGGCACTAGGTTTACTTTTTTTCCCAGTCTTATAGAACGTCACCTGATCCCAAGTATTTTTTGAGACTTCCTTACTTATATTTGAGAATGCATTTCAGAGGCTTGAAACCATCTAACTTGCTTCAGGCTATAGGTGCAGCACTTCCTTAGCTCCAGCTACCCATCACTGCTGCTGGAGGTCTTCACTCCTCAATTCTACCTGCTCATCTGTGCTGATGACACCCCCCCAACCCCCACCCCCCACCTTCAACCCTCCCAGGAGACCTAAATTGTGCCAGGGTATGCTGATGGCACCTGACTGCAGGTGGTAACTGCTTTAAGCCAGTACTTTAGTACTACTAAAGCTAAAAGATACACATGTCCATAGTCTGAGTGGATGGTGGTTGGTTTTTTTTTCCCTATACCAGACAGAGTTTTCACCTTTGCATCCCTGATATCAATTACAGCAGCCTGCTGACTGAAGTTAACCTCTCTGATGAAGTCTCAAATTTTAGAAATGTTGGAGCGCATGTTCCATGTGGGCTTTTCTGACTTGCTCCCTGATCTCTCATGTCTACAATAAGCAGTTGTTAAATGGAGAACATTTCCAAACTCTTTTGGAGTCTTTCCAGTAGGCAGCTTGAGGGGAAACTGGCAGCTCTGCCTGGTGCTTCACCTGTAGTGAGGACATCCTCTGGTTTAATCAGAAAGGCTAAGCTTGCTAGCATCCGAGCTGCTGGATAATAATTGTACAGATGAGTAAACCCCAGATTTCCTCCTATTTTGATGTTGCTCGCTGTACAATTTTGATGCCAGCTTTTTTTAACCAGTGACAGAAGACCTAAAACACCAGCCTTTCTTTCATCACATTCATAATGAGCTCATGAACTGTTAGTCAGTGCTTTTCCCTGAAGCAGAGCATCCATCTTCCAGAAGCAAGCTCTACCCCTGGGCACTCCCCAGCCTCCCTGCCAGGAACTATGGGAGTGCCTCTGGAAGCAGAGTCTAAAATAACCCCTGAGGAGCTAAAATTAATCCTGAGGAGCAGTTTGGCGAGACATAGCCCATTTCCTTCCAAACTGCTTTTCCCAATTCTTCTCCAAGGGGCTCACATGCCAGGAAGGGGGCTGCAAAGTTCAGGTCAGCAGCAGTGGCAACTTGTCCCTCTCCTGTGGCATTTGTTCAGGTGGCAGGAGGTGTTCTTCAAGCCCTTGCCTGCACAACGGCGTGTGTGAGGACAGCATTCGTGGCTACACCTGCACCTGTGCTGAGGGCTACGAGGGAGAGAACTGTGCTTTCGGTAAGGCATCACCCCCCTTCTGAGAAGCCCTACCTCTTCCTGTCATAGCAGCTCTCCCATTACAGCCAGCTATCATATTTTAGGTTAAAACACACAGTTCTTGGCAGAGCAGGGGTGATGTGTGCTACCTGTCTACTGAAACGTTATGGCATCCTGAGGTTACGCAGGCTGCCTCTTCTACCTGAGCTTCCCTTCTCTGGGGGCACAGCAAAAGTGCTGCAGCAAGTTCCCCTCCCAGGTGGGCTCCAAAGGCAGCCCTGCCACTGCCATCTGCACTCCCCAGCTGATTGTCCTGAAGAACCAGGGCTGTGCTGCCACTGGGGTGGCTTCCCAGCCACCTCCAAGGCCACACAAAGCCACAAGACAATCCCTCAGGACAGAGCAGCTCCAGAAAACAAACTATTTTCAGTGGAAGTGTAAAAGGCATAAAGCAAAACAGCCGCTTTCTGACATGTGAAACAACACATTTTTAGATCTGCCAGGTTCTACTTTCCAGCCCTTACGTCAGTATTTCTGCTGGCTCAGAGGTCCCCTGGGATGGGAGACGCCCTGGCTGCTGCAAGGCAGGGTCATTTTCTGTATAAGGGGTGTGACTGTGACCAGCTCCTGGAGAGCACAGAAGGTGACAAGGCTTGAACCAGTGCTGGGAACTGGATCTGCCTGAGCCTTAGAGAGTCAGGTTAACGTGAGGATTTTTGCTGCTTCTCCACCTGTGAGCTAGATGCACCATAAAATGGTTGATACTCCTGGTGCTTTGCACTGAAGTGTTTGCTCAGCTATGGAAAGGTGACGACTATGTTTCAAAGGTGACTAATAATCCTTTTTTTCTTATCTTGGGCAGCTGTTAATTTCCTTAGTACAAGTGTAAGAAATAAGAATGATACATTTGTTTTTGCTGAAAACCAGAAAGCTTTAGCTTTCTTCCTCAAACACCACCTGCCTTCTTAACATGTGCAACAGTCCCCCCAGATGTAGATACTTAGTGTTTTGTTTAAGAGAGGAGAAATAAAAGCCCTTTCATGGGTTCATATGGAAGTCCTTGTTTGACCCTTGGCTAACGTTCCCCAAAACTCAGAGCTACACAAGGTGCAGGGAGGTGCTGCATGAGCACAGTTTGCAATGAGTGTGGATGCTGCAGAGACTCAGCTGTCTCCAGTTTCTGCTTAACAAGGGAAAAAACAATGTGGTGGCAATACTACCAAGCCAGAGTCCCTACCAACCTCTGCACAAAGCGAGTAAAAATAAAATGCTTAGTAAAGACAACTCTTCATGCAAGAACACTCCAGCTGAACTACTTCCAATGCTTTTCCTCCACTTGTTCTGTTTAGCTAAAAATGAATGTCACCACCATGCAAAGGAAGGATGTCACCACTTCTGCTACCCAGGAACTAATTCCTACCGTTGTTCCTGTGCTGATGGCTATGAGCTCGGGAAGGACAAAAAACAGTGCATCGCGTTAGGTAGGTGTGAGCGTGGAAGTCCAGGGGGCACATGTTCAGTGCTGGGGTGGGCAGGCCACCATCTGAAATCCAGATGCCGTCAGCCTGCTTGGAGATTCAAGCCATAGGAATATTACTGACCTTCCAAGATGGGCAGAAAAAGGAGGAATCTAGGGACCATGACCCGAGATGCCAGAGTAGTGATAAAGGAAGTGATACTTGATCTGAACATTTAAACACAGGTCTGCAGAGAGGACTCGCATTATCCTACACATCACTCAGTGGGCCAGGTTTTCCACTCCTGTGCACAGCAAAGAGTAACGCTGCTGAAGACCTGTTTGGGAATGAGATTCAATTGATTCTAGTCAGGCACTTGATGGTCTGATAAATGAAGGGCAACATTTGTTGCCATATTACTTAGTTTGAAGCAATAGTCCTCTTCATTTTTTCAATCTCATCCCTTACAAACTACGTCTACTAAAAACACACTAGCATACCTAGGCCCTTGTCTATACTACAAGTTGAGCTGTAGACCCATGCCTTTGGTGATGAAGGCTTGATGTCCACACTCAGTGCACACCAGGTGGGCTTTACTTCAGATTAGCTCTAGTTCGGCCCTGTGGACTAAGCACCCATTAGCTGTGAGAGCACGTCATGTGTGCTCCTGGAGAATGTCTTCTGGTTTAGCTTCTCCCGAACAGAATCCAGTCTGTGTGAGCCAAGACTATGCCACAAGGTGAACAGTAAGTGTGATAAATGCAGATAGCCGAGAGATCCACTGGAAAAGCACACATGCTGTTTGAACCAGAACAGAAAGGCATGCACATCCCCAGAGTAACAGCTTTAACGAACAAAACCCACCATTTACCTTGTCCAGATTGGGCCACAGCTATCAGGTATTTGGTGCAATTCAGATGCAGGATACAAGGATGAGGAAGGAAGCTATGCTGATGGCTGTCTGGATGGGAAGCCTCGTTTCATTTGTTACAGGCACACTGAAATCTGGTCACCACAAGCCTAATGCAATGACCTGAAATGTTCAGCGCCATCACTAAGCTATCAGACTACAGATGCCAAGCAAAAAATTTCAGTTTTGACCAGCTGAGAAATTGTCCTTCTCTTTTTCCTTGGTGCAAAAACAAAACCCCAAAGTCAAGGTGGAAGCAATTAGGTATTTGCAGGTATTAGCTGTCTTGAACTGACACAGCATGAGGTTTTGATTTTTTTTTAATTCATTTGCTAGATCAATGTGCATGTGGCAGACTTCAAGACAGTGATAATCTGATAAGTGATACCAGGAAGAAAGGAGATGAGCGATTTCCTTGGCAGGTATTTCTAGCAATTCATGAAACCCATCACTCAACCTCACATGGACAGTGATCTCTGTCTTCTTTTTGCATTTTCTTAGGTCCTGCTGATAAACTCAGAAGGGAAGGGCTTCTGTGGAGGAGTGCTGCTAAAAAGTAACTTTGTATTGGCTACAGCAGAGTGTGCCCTCCTGCACAGCCATTTTGAAATCAGAGTTGGTGCTGGTAGGTGATCACATCTTCTCTTGTTACAGCACATTTTAGAATTGACAAGCTAATTTTTAAAAAAGCTTACTAAAATTTTTGCTGCATAAAAATATTGTTAAAGGAAACAAATCTGCTGTCATCTCATTTAAGCATCTTAAGTATTTCAGGCTAGTACTACAGCTACTCTATACTCCCCTACAAGCCAAGTGGGGAGACAACTGCCTCTTGAATGCAATTCAGAACTCAGCACCTAGGGATAAGCTAAGCCAGGTGGATTTAGAAGTGGCTTTTGTTTCATGCCAGAATTCACTTCTCGTTTCCCTCTGAAATGATGCATGCTTCTACACAGCATTAAAAGTCTGTCAATGTATCATTCCTAGTTTACTGCAGCGATTACAGGAAGAGCGCCTTTAGTTTCTCTGCTGCACATATTTTTCAGCATGACTAGGCAGATGTCAAGTTTGCATACAGTTTTCAGGTCTCTGGTAAATTATTGCTAAGAGCAGTGAAATGTCATTGCTTCACAGGACCTAATGGAACAAGTGGAACTGAGAAGATAATGCAAGTTAGTGAGAAGCACATACACATCCGGTATGATGAAGACACTGGTGAGAATAACATTGCGCTACTACAACTCCAAGAACATGTTGAGTGCAACAACCACCAGCTTCCTGTATGCATCCCTGAAAGAGACTTTGCAGAACACATTTTAATTCCAAAACTGGCTGGTACAGTCAGTGGCTGGAGAATGGAAGGTGATGAACTTCAAAGTGAGGAGTTGCAGGTTTCATACCTTCCTGCTGAGGACTGCAAACAAATACTCAACATAAGCCTCACAAACAGGCAGTTTTGTGGACACCTTCAGGAGGCTGTAGACAAACAACTGGCTGGAGGAAGCTTTTTAGCTACTGAGTATAAGGGCACTTGGTTTCTGACTGGGATTCTGGGATCTTGGCCACTAGAAGACACTGACTGGGAAACACTTCTATTCACTAACACCGCGAGGTATATGATATGGTTTAAACAAAAAATGAAATAAGACACAAACACAACCAAGCCTCCAGCACCAAACCTCTACCCATCACTGCAAGGAAACATCTGGATGCAGGCAGTACACCCATTTGACTCTGTTGCAACTTCCATTGCTGCAAATTGTGATAATGTAACTCAAATTCATAAAAAGCCCGTTTGTCTTTCCTTCTGCTGACAATTCAGTGAAAGTCATGATGCAGTATATCTAGTTATTTTACTAAAAACTGACTGAACTTTTAAGTTTCCTAGAACTGTTCATCCTAAAACTCAAACTGTTTTTCTGGGATTTTAAATCTTGCTAGAAGAAAATGAGTCTTTTTAATTTTTGTTACCCTGAGGGTTTGATTCAACAAATTCATATTCTTATTTCAGCATCCATACCAGTAAAACTTATGAAAACCAGAGGAACTCCAAGCCTTTAAATGCCTGTCTTGATCTAGGACTTGACACTCTCATCACACTAAAAAAACGTTTCTCCTCATACATGGTACCTGTGTTTTCCCTTACGAATTATGTCCTCATCAGTTAGTGGCTAAAATAAAACCCAGCTCTCAAAGATGGGGAAAAATTGTTTTATTTCCTTTAAAAATAATAAAAAAAACCCTAAACTACTGTCCTGCTGCTATGGACAAAGTTATGTTGTATCACCCCTAAACAGAACTCCCACTGTAGTAACACTTAAAATAATGGATCCTGTGGCAGTATTTTACCCAGAAGCAGAATAAAACCGAGTATGGATAAGTTACTTATATATGCTTTTGTTCATTGTAACAAAAATGAAACAAATGTTACCAGAATTAAAAAAACCAAACCCATCTGTGGGCACCTACAGACAAAAATCAACACATTTATTTAAACCCGTACACTGTAAAGCTTTTGCTGTCAAGCACTTCTCTAGGGTTTTAGAGAAAGCCTGAAGGGAGTATTTAATACCAGCAAGGTTATTGAAGAGACTTCTAAAAAATGGGAACTAGGAAAGAAAACACTTCCATTCTGAGCACAAGTAACAAAGGATGATACTCTCTCCTTTGAAAGATAAATGCAGAAATACTAACACAAAGTACTTTGTAAGAGTTTTAAAGTAGTTTGGAAGGAATTTGGAATGCTTTGCTTTATTTCCTCATGAAATTCTTTGAATGATGTAGAAAGCCTGCAGAAACTATCACTGAAAAATTAGCATTTAATTCCAACGCACTTTGTAACACTGGCAGCCTTGGTCATTCTGGGAAAGGAGCCACAAACAGTTCCTGGTATTCCAGTCCTGGACACGAACCAGGTCATTTACAGTGTTCTCAGGGTGATTAGGAGCAGCTCCACTGGGTAAGCTGAGCATCTGAAAAGTACTTGCATGGGTAAGACGCAATACTCAACACACTGTTGACAGCGGAGGAAACGGGTTCTGCTTACTGACCACAAGCTTTTGATGCTGATGAGATATATAGCCTTTAATGTGACCCTGGCAGACGGAGAAAAAGACAGCGTTAGTACTGGAAGCTGGTAACACAAAGCCTATAATTTCCCGCTGTCTTCAGACTACATCAAGCAAAGCTATGTGTGTATACTCAACACCACTGCACTATCATACTTAATACCTATAAGGATCCAATTTATGTAAGTGGGTCAACTCACAGAGTAAGCAGAAAGTTGGAACCATTACCATGTTTGCATACCAATGGTGCTGTCAGGCTGAGCAGCTGTTGCCAGGGCCCTCTACTGGTCTGCTTACAGTTCCTTGAAGAGATAGAGCTCTACACAACTGTTTCTAAATTTACACTTGCTTACTTTAAAATTAGGATTTTAATTAATCGCTATTCCCTACCTAACAAACCAGTACTTCATTTTCAGACACAGTGTTGTAACACCAAAAGAAATCTTCCAGTGACATAATCCCACCCTCTGTTACTCTTAGACCACACCAAATAATGTTTCAGAAACAGAGAAGTGGTTCATTTTCTTGCTGACACTGCAGTGCTGCTCCAAAACCTCAGATTTATTAGAAATCTCTAGACTTCAAGCCTTTATCTGCTCATGAGTAGCTGAGATCCACTTAAAGACAAAATGAGAAATAAATCCAAAGAGATCTGTTTTTTAATTTTTTCTCATGTCAGATTGGCAAGAGTCTCCTACTTCAAATGCAGAAGAAGTAGTCTCTTTTTCGTCCCAGTTTCTGTGTTTTAAATCAGTATTTACGCATATATAGCAATGTTGGTACTGGATTTGTAACGAAAAATTCAACAGGCAGGCAGGGAGGCACTAGAGGAAGCCTTCAGGGCAAATGAAAACATTTCAATTTGGGCACAAGTGAATCAACTTTCTTACACAAGAAAACCTGGAATTACTGATGTGTTTTGTTGAAATAAATTTTTACTATCTACCTAGTATTTTTTACTGTCTGAAGCCTGGAAGGACCAAACATGTGGTGAGCACATACCATATATATAAGGTTAGCTAAAATGCACTGGACTTCATCAATATCCACATCATCTACTTGCATGAATTTCAGGGCAAACAGAAAGGCATCTAGAGATAGCTGATGGGTTTTGAGTAGTAAGTATCTGAAAGAAACAACAGGAAAAAAATCTGTTATTGAGAAGCAATCACTTAAAGAGTTCTGGTTCTTAGAAAAATGGCCTTTCTACAATAAATTTACTTTAACAGGAATTCGGCTCTCAGAGAGAACTAATGAGCATATATGGTTCTATCTCAGTCCTAGGTGAGACGATATTAAATCTGCTTTTGCAAAAATGTAGGGTTTGTTATGCTTACACTTTCTTAAAGAGATTTCTGTACGTGATGATTTTCAGCTTCTCAAGGATAAGAAAAATTCCACATCGAATAAAGAAGGTCTCATGCTTTGTCAGAGCATCATTCAGTAGGAGAAGATTGCCTTCACTACAAGGATAAAGAAATGAAAACATGAGAAGGTCTCACCCAAATGAGAAAAGAAATTGACTTGGTAGGAATATCCCTCCCCTCCTTCCTCAATCATCCCAAATAAATAATTTCACTTAATACTTTTTGATCTAACACAATGCAATGAAACAATCATCATACCTCACAGCCTTTGTTACTTCAGCAAACTGCATAAGGTCATACTTTTTTAAGAGCTGAACTGTTGGCATATGGCCCTGAAAAATAAATGGTTTCCAAATTTTCCAGGGTAAAGTCAAATGCATTTAAAATAAAATCTAGTAAGCTATAAAAACATTTGTTAGAGAAAAAGGCAAATGTTTAACCACTTCTTTTTTCCCTACAGAATATGAGAATAAGAGTACTTATAAGACAATAGCTCAACTCACAGTAATTATTTATCATGGTTTAGGGAGTCTCAGTATTTCTTAATGTTGCGGAACGGTAATACTTGTAAAATCAGGATCCTGTGACATGAGGCCTATGCAGGTCCAAATTTTATGTCATGGCTGTATGATCTAATCTGCAAACGGAACAACTACAGGAATCCCAAGCATTACTAATAATATAAGCAGTGCTTCAGCACTGTCAAGTGCTAGCTCAGTCTGTACCAGATTTTTTCTTCGCTACGCCTCTGTGCAGAAATAAAAATGTACTCTCAAAAACCAAACCCAAACACACACACACAAAAAAGAGAGAAATTTAAATTTAAAGAAACAGAATCAATTCTTATTGCTAGATCAGGTAAGACTGAACCACCTTCACTATCACAAGGAAACTTTGGTTTTTTCCCCCTGCACAGCAGAGATCAGATTGCACAATGACTTGGGTCAGACTTTAAATTTAGTTACCATCATGCTATGCTGTTAGTAACTCCTTTCCTGTTCAGAGGATTAGCTGAGAGCAGGACTCAGCTGCATGTTTACTGAGAGCTGCTAGGAATAAAAAAAAAAAAATCCAAGCTATTTTAGTACAGTTTAAGGTTAGGGCTAATGTTTGGGCTCCAATTAGAAAAAAGCAACTGTAAAACCAATGACCTTCATCTAGATTCTTTAGTGTCTCTTGTACGCTAGAACTTCTCCTGAAAAGCCACAGTAATTCTAGGTGCTAATGGACCCAACCAGTTTAAGGCACCCAGTCAGGACTGGGACAAAGTTTTTAGGAAGACCGTTAGTTTTCCTTTATCAACCCTACCACTGATTGATCTGAGTAAAGAAAGTCAGTAATCAAAAAATGAAAACCAGAAGCCAATTATCATACCTACTAGGGTTTCCCTTTACCCAGTTGACACTGCAAGGGACAGGAAAGGGAGCACTGAATGGAAAAGGGAGGATGGTCATAAACAGGCTGAGGCAAAGGTGGAAGATGCAAACTCACAGAAGCAGGTGATAACAACATTCTCCATAGGTAACTTTGATAATACGTCCAGGAACAGGAAACTCTCAAATCTAGTTCCTGTCCCCTCAGTTACACTGAATTAGTTGTTAGCATAACCCCACTAACTCAGGAATACACAAATGCTAGCACAGGATTTGGAACAAGAGGCACAGATGCGCTTAATTCTTTTAGTAGAAAGATTAAATGTTCAAGTAGTTACCAGTCTTCACTGATTTGTTCAAAACCAAAATGCTCTACTTCATGACCCTTCTAACATGTCTCCAGTGGACAAATGTAAAAGGTGCAAATAGAAAATCCAAAGATAGGAATCTTTTCTCTCCTGTCACAACCCCCCCTCAACATTCTTCAGCCATCTGTTTGCAGATCATCCTTCACTTTACCAGGTGAAAGAAGCAGACAGATTTGTGCTGGTGAATCCACACATTTCCTGGCCCATCTGTGCAGCTCATCACCAGACACACTGGCACAGATCTGGGCACTCAGCTACATGACAGAAGTTACACTGTAAAGTGCTTCTCCAAAGAACTCAAAGTTATCTTTATTACAGAAGCAACCTCGGGTTGTACCTTTAGGAGGGGTGGGATGAAGGTAGGGGGAAAAGAGGGTGGGGTTTTGGTTTGGTTTCCCTGTCCCCCCTTTCTCCTTTCCCGTGTTGCTATACATGACAATTCAACATGTTTTGTCCTCACACAACACACTGTGCATATACTGGCTCTTATGGGGGTTAGACACAGATAGCCTCTGAATTCCAATAAGGGGAAAACAAGAACAATACTGAGCATCAGTTCAGCTATCTGACCCCAAAAAATTATTCAGAAGAGTAACATCTACTCACCAATAACATTTTTACTGGCAGCAGGTAGATCAAAATCATTCTTTTGTTCTTCTGGCTTGAGCGGTGACAGTGCTCAAAGGCAAATGACAGATACTCTTCAGCTGCAGACACAAATAAGAGTGCTAGTAACTTAAGTCAACAACAAAAATGGATAAAAACTGTAACCCAAATTCTGCGCTCAGCGTCCATCTCTAGCATGAACACGTGGTATTTGAAATTATATAAACCAGAATCACACCAATCAAAATACATTAAGAAAAATGCTGTAAGAGTTACTGGGAGATTCACAGAAAATACTATTACCAGAAAAATAAGCCTTCCTTCAGAAAGTCAAAACTTGTCAAGGTCTAGATGCCAGGACTTGACAGTTACAAGCAACACTGGAATTTTCAGCTCATTTCAGTAATATTATCGTGCTACTATTACAGGAAGGGAGAATCTCAAGAAGCGCTGATGAAACAGAACTTTTATTTTCTAAATTCACAGATTAGGTTCTTCAGTGGATGTAAGCTGCATGTGACACATGCATCTGCTGAGCTGCAGAAACGTGCCAGTGAGATCACACAGCATAACAACATGAAAATATCTCATTGGTTTTCACTAAGAGAGAAAAATTACAAGCCTGACAGGCAGAAGACACCGCTCAGAGTAAGAAAACCAGCTCCAGAATAGATTTTGGTCAGGGGCTTCAGTTAGTGATAAAAGATGTATACCTTAGCTCTAGAAGCATTTCTATTAGTGAATCTATTAGAAATCTCAGAAATTAGTTTTCTACATCTTCCAAAATCAAGGTACTGAGAAACTAGTTCTGCAGTACACTTTGCTGAAGATTCCCTACACGGCATACAGCAACTTGAAAAAGATGAGAGATCCACAAAGCCTCCTTTGTGAAACCTTTTACAAACCTATTCTTTTGGATGCTCATACATTTTATTATGCACACACATAATGTGTAAGACTACAGAAAACTTCACTGACATAAATATTCTAAAATTGAGCATGTATTACAATTAGAACTGTCATGTAATCTCATCTCTGATCTGTCTCAGCCAGTGGGCCTCAGATCTTTCAGCATAACTTTTCCTTTGATCAATGCAAACACAACAGCACCTTCTAGGCACATTTTGAGGCACACACACACACAACACATCAGACAGATTTCACACCAAACAGCAAGACTTTAAATCTCTCTTACTAGCACATAATACCTTGCTTAAAGTCACTGTCAAACATGGCTTTGCGTCCAACATAATATCTGTATGTAACTCGCTGTGCCATACTATATTCATCCTTCAGATTTGAGCTGTCAATTGCTCTAATTAAGGGCTTACATAAATGGAGCTTGTTGATCTGTTAAAAAAAAATTAATTGCATTTTACTCAGTGTAGATAGGTAGTATCATATAAAAAGGGTGGGGTTGACTAAAATACGAAAACCAAAACACAGCTTACTAGACTTGAACCCTACCTTAAAATAAATTTTAAACAGCTGATTCACGAGAAACAACATGCCCCACTTCTTGGAATCTTCAATGCCTGCTCGACTGTCGTAAGAACAAAAAAAAAAAGGAAAAAACCTACTGAGAAAGTACTGAACAGTGTAAGAAAATGATGACTTTGTCCTTATGGTAAACTCCCCCCATATATATTTTATGTATTTTTAGGGTAAAAACAGGTGTCTGAAAATAAAAGTCAAGGCCAAACTCTTTGTCTTAAACCATATGAGCACTGTCAAAACAGAATATGTGTTCCTATCTTAAATTTAAACAATTCTGCTACATTTCTTCTCGAGATAACAAAAAGATGTCATGCAAAATGTTATTCATCTACATTAGCACCCTCACTCCAGTCTGCAGATAACAGATATACTAGCATAGCAGTTTCTTATAATATTCAAGGTGAAACAAAGATGGAAAAAAAAGCATTTTCTCCACTTCAGAAGTATTAAAATTCCTACAACCGGAAACCAGAGAATAACCTCTTTTCCATCTAATCATAATGAAGCTAACTTCGCAACTGAACAGGGCAAAAAATCATTAATCTTTTCCAAGAAACAGGGACATAATCAGTCCCTCCCAACAACATCTGCTAGGAATGTGGAACCTGAAGGGAGGCTTCACCAGCTGTAGTTAGTAGTCAAAAGAGAACAGACTATAAATGAGACGAAATGAGCCTCAGAAGTGTTCATTCTTACCCAGAATATGGTCTCAGTGAGTGGAAAAATCTATGTAAAGTTAAGTTCTTAGTTTAATAGTGCAAATTCTACAGAGGATCTTTCACTTACGTGTCACTGGCACAGACTCGAAAACAGCTCATCAGCAGTTCTGCTGCTTTTTCCAACATGTCGCCAACTTTGCTCTTCCCTTTCTTCACTAGCTGTTGATCTGCCTATTGTTACATAGCAAGAAACAATATGTAATTCTACATCCTGGTTCTCTGGCTTCAGAAACAAGTTTAGTTCCTTAATACAGCATTTTATAAAGTAGTGTAGCAATAGATTTGTCATGCCTGCTGCTATCTTCCAAATCTAGAACACAGTCAAGCTCACAGAACAGAAGAAAACACTCAAAGAGGCTCCTGAATGTGTACCAAACCTAATGCACTGGGGGGCAGTCCTCTGAGAACAGCACTGAATGCTATTACCTTTAGTGCTACTAAACTTAATGGAGCTCTCAGAAACCTAAATTCAGAATCATCTGATAGCTGAACTGTAGCATTAACACTTCAATGCAAGTTTTCAAAGAACAAAAGTCTGGCAAAAAAATGTATTTTGAACAAAAGCAAACTAAAATGATTCCCCAGTTATAGAGTTTGAGTTTCAGAATTTATAATTAAGCTTCTCATCACAGCCACAAAGGCTAGATTTCTAAATCATAGTCAACATTTTCTAGTAGTAACACACACTGCTAGGACCTGAGACTCTCAGAAGAAATGGAAAACATATGTTACAGTGGCAAGAGAAAAAAAAAAAAATGAGTTGCCAACACATGGGAAAGATTCATGCACTGATTAATGCAGAACTTGATAAAAGTGTGGGGAAAAAAACAGTGAAAAGATATTTACTATGTACTTTCTAAAAAGTTTTATTATAAAGCTTGCATTCTCACTAGCTGAAATATAAAGAAAATAAATGGAAAAGCATCCTTTTTCTGCAGAAGTGTTCTCTGTATCCATATTGCTTGAACCTACTAACATTAGAAGAGTTCAAACATTTCCATCATGACTGATTCCACTTTCCCCTCTCTCAAGCATCTCAGATACATGAAACTGCCTTATTCAGACTGAAAATCAAGACTTGTTACAGAGCAGGCACACACACGCACACACACACACACACAAAAAATATTCTCTGTGTAAGCATGACAAAGGTAGGCGGGCACAACAAAGTGCTGAGGGGACAAACACTGAAAATATTCTGGATATTGCCAAACTCTAACCTAACCTGAACTCTAGCTTCACCTCTTCAGGTAAAGTGACCAGGAGCAAGATCATGACCCTGCCACTTACCCTGGCCTAGCAGTTCTCAACAGATCCCCACACAAGCTAATTCCCTAGCCTGAGAAAAATAATGTAAATTTGGGTGGGTTTTGCTTGTCAGCAGTTGTATGTGCTCAGCAAGGGCCCCAATGAGCATCAAAGACAGTACACAGAGCTGGAAGAGGGGAAAGGCAGCAAGAACTTCCCTCTTCAGATGTGGCAAGTGGTTAGATTAGCTCAGTTGTCTGGGATATCTCCACCCTTATAAAGATATCCATCAAATCTCAAGGATATCCCACAGAAACATGGTGAGCTATGTCACCATGCTACTCTATAAAGACAGTACTTAATCACTTCATATTCTCTAAGCAAGTGCTTTGAGTTGCATGCAGGTCCTCAGAACCTCTCTAGAGTTCAAGCTGCAAATGGGAGGTGGGCAGACCGAGCAACCTAGTTTTTCAATAGGACTGGACAAATTTAGCATGTCAACAAAATCCTAAACAATTAGTTAAACAGTACTGAGCAAAATTAGGCTATGTAATAAAGTCTAAAATATTTCCACTGTGGAAACTCCTAACAGATAAAAGTAATGACGCTGTTAATCAGCTCTACTTACATTATTAGCAAAAATTCGAAGATCAAGGGCTACAGCATACATAATAGGTAAAGCCCTGGAAAAGTAAAATATAGATACTCAGCATGGGCAATCATGTGTGGTGGTTTAAGCCCTGCTAGGATCAGAGACCATGTTGATGTTGACCCTCCCCCACCCTCAGCTGGTCAGGCTGGAAGTGAGACACAAACCCCAGGTTAAAATAAGAAGAAATTTAATACAACAGTGTGATAAACAATCTGAACAACAGTAGTAATGATAAAAGTGATGAACAGTAATAACAGTAAACAAAAGATATACAGAGAGATACCGCAAATGGTTACAGACAGCTCGCTCGTGTGCTCCCCGCCACCAAAGCCACCAAGGAAAAAGTTCCCGTGCTCCCATGGCACCTGACATCAGCATGGTATGAATAACCCGGCTGGAGATCCCTTCTCCCTCTCTGCTGGGGAAACTTAACCCTGTCCTAGCTGAACCAGGACATCATGTAATAAGTAAGACATGAGAAACAAGCTTTTTTTTTTTTTTCCCCTAGTTGGTCATAAAACAAGAATATTCATTAATCTTTAAATAAAGAAGGGTGCACTTTTTAAAAGGAAAGGTCTTCAAGATACCAGCATTTCAGAAATCCTACACTGGAGGAAGAATTAATTCTACAACCTTTTTTACTGTAGCTTTGATACCATCTCACCGTTAGGAAAATTCTTCACATTTTTACTTATGGAACATTCTACATAATTAAGCTCAGATGTTCTAGTTTTTACACTTTTGGACCTAAAAACTCAAACAGGTAGCAAAACCAATTAGGCTGCATTTAAGTGTCCCTGGGGATAAATAAAAACTATAGACATAATTTTAGTTTTACTACTATGGTATTATACCAGCAAAAGATGAGAGCCTAGTTTTTAGTAGCTCCCTGTGATGTACTCACCAGTTTTCTTCTTTATGCGCCTGAAATGCTCGCAGGAAAGATGTATTCTATTTAGGAAAATTTAAAATGCTATTAAATGCAACACAGGTTTAAAAAACAGCAGTTAAATGGGACCATATCTTACTGCATGAAAGGGCAAACCCCAAAAAAGTAGCAAGGAGACGAGGAGTCAGGATGCAATGATGTAGTAGGGAAGAACATGAGCACATCCACATACTCCTTGGTGTGGCAGTAGCAGTAAGATACACTGCCCACTTGGAGAGATAACAGCTTTCTTTATCAGTATCTTCCTCTCTAGCCAAGTACAAACTGGGAGGTATATTAATGGATTTGAGGATCTCCTATACTCTGCAAGAAATTAATTTTCTATTTTAGTGTCAAGTGACAGATTCCTTCTTAGTCCTACAGAAAGTTGAAAGGAGAAGAGTTTATTTGGATTTTTATGCTTAAGAACCTAAACAGCTGAAGTGTATTTGGAAGCAGACCACATTCTGTTAGATTTTAAAAGGGGTGAAGATAACTTATTCTACAAGACGACATATAGTTAATCTGAAAAAAATATGCAAGATTTATGGAAAAGGATATTGGACAATAACTGTTTGGCATTTGTAGGCTTCTATAAAGTCATGGTTTCCAACAGCATAAGTACACCTGTCAAACAAAAGGTGCATTAGTGCATCAGAAAATATCATATACATAAGACAAATCCTTCTTTTTGCCTCTTAACAGGCATAGAGCTTTACTGTTTATTTAAGAGATATGGAAATATGATTAGAAATGTTCCTAACAAAGTGGCACAAGTATTTTAACACAGCACTAAGCTTGCTAATCATAGAAGACTGATCCGAGAGATGAATGGGGATTTGTTTCTATAATACTTAAAGTATCGACTGTAATATGCTAATGCTTATTGAAACTGTCACCAAGATTAGCACAGGTAAAAAAATTTCAAGACTGTTGAAAGTGAATTAAAGACTGTGTTGTTAATGCAGAAATTTTTTCAATATAAGTCTCACAGAATTACTTAGGCCCTAAAGCTATCTTAAAAGTACTTTTATGACTAAAATTCCCCTTTAAAAATATTTCCCTTACTTATTTCACTCTAAATTCTTGTGTAGCTAGTAAATGCAGAGCAAAGGAAATAGCAAGCAGCAAAACCAAAGCTGTGTCAATGCCTGTATGCAGATAACTGCCAGATACATAAAGCAATCTTTACATGGAGAGGAAAGAGATCTTTATTTCCTGCAGTTTTAGCGTTATTTATGAATAATACCAAGTTTTCAGATGTAAGTCCTTTAAAATAACTAAGTATACTTGAGGATATCCTTCCCCATCCCTGCTGGATGCCTCACAACTGACTTGACATCCTGGGTCCATCTTTACCTTAAGTGGGCTGCAAACATTTCATCATATGGTGGTTCCAAAACTTGTTGACACTTCTCCTCTGGAGATGGAAGCTACAGAACATATCAATGAAACATTAAGGTAACACTCAATGCACCAGATACAGAACATCATATGGATATTTTGTCATAGCAGTTTTATGCATATATGCCTTTGCTGTCTATCAGAACCTTAAGTTATATTAATAATCACATCCAGTGTAACAAATGGCTAGTGTGCACTCTGCCTCCAGAACCCAATTAGAGCTAACCTTCAATAAAAGCATTGGAAATGGATATAGCACTAACACTGGACCCTTGCTACCTACTGGTTTTCTCCTTATAGTCACTTCCACTACGCCACATTACTAACTAATATAGACCTGGCCAGAAGGGACTTTCAAGACTGCATCTATCCAGAAAACAATTCAATGTGGAACACAAAAAGCCATCTGGAGGAAAGAAACCCAAATCCTTGTACAAATAAAAGGGAAAAAAACCTAAAAGGGGATCCTGCTCTGACCTGTGAAACAGATTTCTGAGGTTTCTCTCCAATGGAAAGGAACCCATATAGAGTGCTAGGAAAACTTAAAGCAAAACAAAAGAAAGGTCAAAACCAGATTCTCACCTGTAGCCTTGGGTTCGCAACATGTGGATGTTTAAATGATACCAATTCTGCACAAAACTGTCCATCTCTGCTGTCAATTGCTTCCTGTACCTACCAAAGAAAACAGTCACATTACAGAATAAAACCACGCCATGCAACATATTTACACATGAACACAGAAGCCACCTTCTTGTTACTGCTGTTCATCCACATCAACACCAACTCAAATGGGAGATTTTAAAGGCTTAACACTGAATTAATCAATATCGTACTTTCAATACACGTATTTTTCAATAGGGTATCAGGAAGAAGGTAGTAACACTATTATAGTTTTTATTTGTAGGATACAGGCAAACCAGAAAATCTCCAAACAACTTGCATGCGATTGGCACTGTAAAACAGCAGTTGTGAGTCAGATTTGGTTAAGCTTTTTAAAATTCCAGTTGTACTTATGGGCATCAAACATATATGTGAAGGCATAGACAATCTTTCAGTAATGCTTAAAAATGAAGACAGGTAGATTAAACACACAGCTGCCATTCCAAAAGCAATGTCTGATATTAGACTATCACCTGTATAGAGTATGTCTGAAACCTGCCAGGGCTGTAAATGTTATATTCTGTGGGAGAACTGTTTAATTCTGCCTCTTGCTAAAGGTAACTCCTTGTAAAAAAATAGCGTGTCTGAGCAGCTTATTCTGACATCAAGCTGAGAACTTCTTCAGTTGTGGAAGTAGTTTTAGATATTAATTCATAAGAGTTCTTTTCCCATAGCTTGTGCTTTATGTGTCATATTTTTGTGTCCTGATGGAAAAAATCTTTTTTGTTGTATGGAAAGCTTGTATCAAATGGGAAAAATCATAAACTAAAATAGCAAGAGAAGCAGTAAATGAGGGAAAACCAACTCCTTAAACTTTTTCAGACATTGGTGGTTTTTTTCAAGTCAAGGAGAGATAGTGTTGTGTTTTGGAAGTATTTTTCTTATCAAATGCTAAACGGACCGTCAACTAGACAAGACGGTGACTTTGCAGAGCAGATCACTGTCCTCAGAGATCTCAGATGCTCCATTTTTGAGACAAAAAAACAAACAATTACTCTTTTTGTGTCCTTCACTCAATCGACTTGACTGAAGTGAGATGTGGTCACACTAAAGGCTTCACACTGAAGGTTCAGTCCAACTGGTATCCTTGTGACTGCTCCTGTTTTTCCATCCTCCATGCCATGCATGTTGTTGTCTCTGCATTTGTGTACTCCTTAAATCACCGAGATGCATTTGTGCCGGCATGCACACACAATCCCACCGTGTTAGTTCTTATAGATAAATTACTTTGCTATTCATTATATGAGTAACCACCATGCTTTTCAGAAATTCCAGGTATACAACCTTATCACACAGCCAGTATACTTAATACAGACTTAAGAAGCATATTTCTTTACCATATCACACGTTCTAGATTGATTTATTTCTTAAATAAGGTAACATATTTACAGCAAAGAATAATACATTCACATACTCTAACTGGGCCCACAAATAAAAAAACTTGCTTACTTGCTGCAAATACTGATTTATGGTGATGTGCGCCATTAAAATAGAAGTCGAAGAGGCAGGAGTCCCAAATAAAACACAGTTGTATCACATTCTGCGAAAGGAACAGAGAAGAGCAAAGAGAGGGTACCTCGCACACATCCCGTCTCCGCTCCGAGGAAACCCGGGATGACTTTACCGAGCCCCTGGCCGGTGGGCAGCTGCTACCAGCCTACGGGTACTATAACGCAGCCGTAGGGAAAGCGGACCCGAGCACAGACACCCGCTGCCCGCCGGGAGGAACAGCGAGCGGAGGAGAAATCCTGGCCACGAAAGCCCCGAGGAAGGCGGAGCGCAGGCAGTGGGAGAGGCAGGAGCGCCGTGGCGGGACGCGGCCCCGCTAGCCCACGAGTGCGCACAGGGACATCCATCCACCCGCGCCCCCCAACTTGTCCCCAGCAGCCCCAGCCGGCCCTGCCCCACCGCAAACCCACCCTCAAACCTCGGCGCGGCACTTC